CTGCATGTTCTCAGTTTAAAAATAGAGGCCAGAAAACAAGGGAAGACGTCTTGAGAATGTTGAACGAGTAGGGTCCAATTAGAATCCTACATCCAGAGCTGAGGTTGTAGGCCTCTGTTACATGTGCCTACCCAGGTATGAATACCTGAGCCCCAAACCCACATGAGAAAAACATAAAAGAAATGTGAAACAATAAAAGGATTCTATATCCACTGGAAGTAAATTTCAAAAATGAAAGCGAAATACAGATACCCTTGGGTAAACAAAACCTGCCTGAATTCCTCTCGGACATACTTTAAAAACTAAACTAAACTAAAAGCTTCCTTAGAATGAAGGAAAAGAGTACCAGATACAAATTCAGTAAATAACAAGTCAAATATGACAACTGGAAAGGGAAATGCCTGAATAAAAGCAAAAACATTGTGTGTGTGTGTGTGTGTGTGTGTGTGTGTGTGTGTGTTCATAGTCGAGTTTTTCGTAATAAGCATTGACGGCTTGAAACGAAAATTACAAGGATGTTTTGTTAGATTTCTCCAGTCTATAGAGAAGTAAACTGCAAAATAATGAGAATATAAAGGGCAAGAGGGAAATGAATCTAATTATTCTGCTAAAAGTGTCTTGGGTTGTTTGTGAAATTTTTGAAGGTCATATTGTTTTCTTTTTTCAAGTTGACTAGGAAAAGTTAAATACTGAACTCTCTCGAGTAGTACTTCTCCAGTTTTCTAAAGTAATGAGGTTATCTTAGGCTGGTGGGGTTGCTGTAACAAAATCTTATGGACCAAAGGCCTGGATTTAGCTCAGTGGTTCCGCCGCCTGCCTCGCAAGTGCAAGGTCCCAAGTTCGATCCCCAGTACCAATAAATAAGTAAATCAGCCATTCAATAAGTAAATAGATAAATAAATAAATGTTATGGCTTAAAACAACAGCCCTGTGTTACTCCTAGTCTCGAAGGCCAAAGTTCAAGGTCAAGATGTGAAAGACAGGGTGACCATGGGGGCAGAGGGTACTTTCTCTCCGAGTTTACACATGGGGGAGTATGCAGGAAACTCTTGTGGTCTCCTTTGTAAAAGCATCAGACCCATTCCAGAGACTCCATATTCACGACTTCATCCACTTCCAAACACCACACCCCACTTCCCAACGCCACCAGTCATGGGGAATGATCCAACATTGGATTCCAAGGTGGGAATTATAAACATTCAGATCCAGATGGTTCCACTGGTCAAAGTGTGAGTATGCCATTGTACTGAAGTAAGGAAATGCCCCCAGGCAAGGAAGGCAATAGAGCGGCGTTGTTTTTTTGTTTTTTTTAAAGAGCTGGATATTGGAAGATGAAGGTCAAAAGTGTGGCAGATTGTCTGTCTGGTAAGGGCTGCTTCCTGCTTCATGGATGGCAGCTTCTCTCTGTGTCTTTACACCCTGGAAGGGAAGGGGAGCTCCCTGGGGTCTCTTTTATAAGAACGCAGATCTCATCCATGAAGCTTTACCCTTCGAGACTTTGTCACCTCAGAAATGCCCAATCTTCTAACACGATCGCCTTGGGAGTTAAGATTTTACCATGCAAATATTTAGGGCACACAGACTTTGAAGCCATGAGGAGTTTTATTCTTTCGACTCTGTGGTAGCCTCTGAGTATATGGAATGTGGTTGTCTTGAACTGTGGTTCATGTGAATGAGGCATTAACTTTTCCTTTTTAAAAAAAGGCTAATCAATTTTAATTCTATAGATGAGTAATGTTTACCTTTTTTGGAGAATACAGCTCCAGGGTAGAGGAAGGTGAACATTTTCTATTAAACTCAAGGAACTCTGTAATTTTAGGTTTGTAAACCAGTAGGCAATTTCAAAGATATTACATGTATTTATATGTAAATACTCAAAATAAAAAGTAATATGTGAAAACCATTCATATCTAATGGAGCATACACAACCAGGTAAATGAGCAAAATTTTGCTATAGAGCAATTATCTAAATATACTCACTAATATATAATTATATACTCGTAATATATCTTCACAAAGGAGAGTCAATGGCACTCAGTATTGTGAAAATTTTGATTGTAACAGAAAAACACATGGTAAGAGTAGCACAAAAACAAAAGGTATAGATGAAAAACAACCATGGTAGAATTAGAACAAAGGAAAATTCACTCATGTTGGTCATGGGGAAGTAAAAGGCAAAATTACCTCCAAAATCTGTTGGAATAGTTTTATAAATTTAAGGCTACTATGAGGCCACCAACTAGTACTTCCTTCTTGGGCATTTATATACAAAAGACTTGAAAACACAGGTTCTCAGATTCACTGGTTTGTTGATACTAAGAAAAGAAAAGAAAAAAAAAAAACACAGGCTAGACTGGGGATGCAACTCATTGGTGGTGTTTGACTCGTGTGTGTGAGATCTTGAGTTCTATCCCCAGCACAGAAGGAAAAGAAAGAAAAACTATGAACATTTTACCTGTGCATGAATAAGACAATCGCTGTAGCACCCGCAGGGCCCTCCCAAACCTCGTGTGTTGAAGACCTAATGTTGAGAGGTGGTGGAAACCCTTGAGGTATGACCCCAGTGGAGGACGTAGGTCACTTGGCAAGTGGCCTGGGAAGGTAGAGGTTGTCTCTGCGTCTTCCTCCTCTCTCTCTGGTCCCTGGCTGCCATGATGTGAACAGCCTGATACACAGCAGATGTGAAATCCCTGAAATAAATCTTTCTTGTTTTTAGGTTGATTTTATGGAGTGTTTTGTCAAGATGGTGAAAAGCTGACTAATATAAGAATGAAGGAATATATTTCAATTATGTCACTTAAGGAATTGCTAAAAGGATGACTGATAGAGAATACAGTGTGTATCATGGTAAATTTCCATAAATCAGATGCATCTTCAGAGTCATTGAGCAGGCCAAGAGTTAAATCAGAATAAGCAATTCAGAAATTGCCCTTGAATATTTCATAAGTAAACTAATTTTACTTCTTTTTAAAAAAAATTCTGTGCTTTTGAAAACTTCTACAAGACATTACAATATTTTAAAATAGGTATTTCCCAGTAAGTTTCTTTTCTTTCAAGAATTTCTTATATCATACTTCCTAGAATAGAGATAATTCTCTACCTTTTATATGAAATAGGATGGGACATATTTCCTTTAAAATACTGTGACAAATCTCTTTTTAAATACTATCTTTTAAGTGATTATTTTATAACTGTCCTCTAAAATAATTTAGAGTAAAATGAAGGATTCAGTTCAGTTCTAGGAACCTTAGATTCTACTTTAGATATGCCCTAGAGTGAATAGATTGTGAAAAAAAAATCTTAACCTAAACGGGTTTTTTTATTTCCTCTTATCAGTAATTTGGTGATTCTCCTGAGCTTTAATGACTCTGTGTCAGCAAGACACATGAACAGGAATGGATTTTTCCTGATATTTCACCAAACACATAGGAAGATAACATCTTCTAGCAACACATGGGAGCATCTGTCTGTGTTACACTTTCTAAAGTACTCAGGACAATAGCTATTACCCAAAGAAACCTCTTAATGATCCATCCTCGCCTTTCTTCAACAAAGAAAAGTAGAGCTTTCACTGCTCCTGTCTGACCTACTTCAGGATAGATGTGTCAACCACCTAAATTCCCAAAGTTGTGGCATTGAAGGAACTGTACAGGCATGTCCAATCTCTTCTTAAACCTTTTGAAGAATCATAGTAGTATTCATAGAAGTCCATGCCATCTCCAAGGGTCTACAAGAACTTTGCACCTTGAGCTTTGGTTTTTCAACCCGATTTTTAGAAGTCAGAATGCCTCTGAGTTCCTATCACAAAAGGCAATACAAGGGCCAGGGATTTAGCTCAGTGGTTCCATCGCCTGCCTCGCAAGTGCAAGGCCCCAAATTCGATCCCTGGTACCCCACCCCAAAAAACAATACAAGAAGTTCATCCAATAACAGTAAGTTATGTAGCTATACATGGCCAAGTGTGGTAAAACACAGGCCATTTGGAATTCTCATTGCACACTGTCTGGCACACAGTCTAATTCTGTTAGCAGTTCATAGAGCGCATTTGTAATAATTGTTGTTACACAAGAATCTATCTAGAACGACCAGAATCTGTCTGACCATATTAGCCTGATGGATATGCAGATTCCCACGTGTGGCTGTCAATCCTGATACGTCTACTTCACTGGATGAAGATGCAGTTGGAAAATTAGTACAGCATTCTCCTTGTGTGTCTGGGTGGGTTCTGAAAGCTTGGTATTGAGTACAGGGTGTGTAAGGTCCCTTCCCCGCTCTTTTACTACCCTCTTCTGCTTTGCTTCCCAGATTGCATGAACTGAGCAGCTTTGTCACTGCACCTTGCCTTTCAACCATTAGGTCCTTCCTTGCAGCCTGGGGATGATTAGAAAATCGCCTAGGATCATGAGCTAAATTAAACGTTTTCTTCTTTAAGATATAGGTATTATGTATTGTGTCTCAGCATCAACTAATACATGAGGTCTTGATTGGGTCCTAAACTGAGATGTGAGGTGTTCATACGATTCTTTCTACTACTTGATTTATAACCTAGCTCTGTCATTCATTTTAGCTAATTTTTTTTAACCTGGAAGAATGACCATAACTCAGATCCATGATTGCAATGTATGAAATGGTAGGTTTCAAGCGTTTGCCGTCAACACTCACTTTTTGGAGTGCCAGCTCTGAGTGACAATCACCTGATATCCGTATCTATAGTACTAAAGTTAGAATCCTTGATTGTTTCCAGCTGTTTCCCCCCATCTTTATTACTTTGTATGCATGCACAACCAGGAAGCTCCACCAATTTCAAGATCTAAATACGTGTGCAACTCCATTTTTGTAAATTTGCTGATTTTCTTATGTTCTGCTGTAGTCATTCAACATCCATCATCTGCAAGGAGACACTTACCAAATATTTCAAGTCCTCCCATGCCTCTTTTCTTTCCTTTCTCTTCAAGGCAGTCTGAGCAGTCTCTTTAGGCAATAACCTTAGTACAAAAACATGTAAATTTGCTGATTTTCTTATGTTCTTCTGTAGTCATTCAACATCCATCGTCTGCAAGTACCACTCCAGGGAGACACTTACCAAATATTTCAAGTCCTCCCATGCCTCTCTTCTTTCCTTTCTCTTCAAGGCAGTCTGAGCAGTCTCTTTAGGCAATAACCTTAGTACAAAAACATACGGTATTTCACTGCTCTGCTTAAAAATCACTTGGAGTATGTTTCCATAAAGGTAATATAAAGCAGTTACAATGTCCAACACAGATTGGCGTGATTAATGTTTTCCCAGATTCTGTCTGTCCAAACATCACACTATAAGGATAAATTGTTATTGTGTTCTCAATGCATGACATGTTAGATTTGTTACTACAAACAAACAAACAAAAAAATCTGAGATGATGGACTCATAAAGAGAAAGAATTTATTTTGCTTCGTAGTTGTGGATTTCCTGGTCCATGATTACTTGATCTTGTTGCTCTGGGACTGTGGTGAGAGAATACATCACAATAGGTGATATGGTGGAACAAAGCCACTCACTAACTAGGAAACAAAATTGGGATCGAAGAGAGTGTTGGCGTCCAGTAAAAGCCTTCAAAGCCACATCACCAATAACCTAACTTCCTCACCTCTGAAAAGATTTGCCACCTCCCAATAGCATCTAAAGGCTAAAAATAGGGGTTTAAAAGACACCCAAGACCCAGATGATAGTACAGTTCATCAGAAAGTCCACTTTGAACAGCTTTCAGAGTCGAATCACATTCTGGCGTCTGAGGTCTGGGTATGAGGTAGAGCTGTTTCTTCACGAGGCCCCTCTCCTCGGCTCTAGAGTTTTCTCCCTGTGTCTGCACATGGCCAGCCCCCTGTATGTGGCTGTGTGCTCATTTCCTCTTATAAGGCAACCAGCTCTATTGGGTTAGAGTTGACCATAATGACTTCATTTTACCCTAATTGCCTCCTTAATGATCACATTTCCAAATACAATCACAGGCTGAGATTCTAGATATTACAGCTTCACACAGGTATTTAGGGGTAGAGAATAAACACAATTAGCTGATAATATGCACTTTAAATATAATGACTCTTTCCCAGTCTCTTCTAAAGCCTGCATTGGTGGAATTACAGTGTTTTCTGAAAACTGTCACAGGCAATATATTGATCTTTTTGATCCATATGACAAATCCGGAGAAAAAATTGATGGGTCAGAATTCCCCTGAATATGTGAAAACAGCTAATTTTAGTATCTGATTATTTTAATGGTACTCAATGGGATTGAAGATTCTATCCGTGATGCATAGAATGGCATCATTTTATCACCTGTGCTTACTTTTCTAAAACACCGAGTGAGAAAAAGTCTGAAAACTTTGGTCACAGGATACTTCATGTACTAAAATCCAGATCTGTCAAAAGCGTATTCCATTAAAAGTTGAGAATAAATCTAATCATGTCTCAGAAAAAAAAGTTTGTATGTAAGAAGGGTCAGAAAAAAATAGATTTACTATTTATTATTTGTACCTTGGCTGAAAATGTAATAGCTCCCATAGGCTATTTCAAAGACATTTTCAACAACATCATGGAATCAGAACCCAAATTGGGGTCATGTTATTTTCCAACTGTATGACTTAGGGGAAGAAGGTACTTTCCTATTGCCTGTGATCAGAAACATGAGCTAAATATAGTTTTAAATGAAGTCTGCCCCTCAGAGAAGCCTAGACAGTATGCCGTAACAAGTTGAGAACAGCTTGGAAATAGCTTTTGAAAACAAAGGCTCACTAATACAACCTCAGAACTTTTGTCCAGTAAAATCTAAACAAGTCAAGACAATCATTCTGTGATCCATATTGTGAGCTACAGGAGATGATTTGAGATCAGCATCTATCTGTGATCCTCACTGGAATTTAATGTAAGGCTGCTGAAAGCCAAGATCCAACTGATGATACTTTCCACTGGATCTTCAAGAATTAAAGCAAGTTTTGTCCATTAAAAAAAAAAAACTTTTAGTAATTTTTGGGGGGAAACTTTATTTACCTCCGCTGGTTAGTGGTTTGTTGTCATTTGATCCCCATCGTAAATCTTCAATTTATAGAATCTGAAATGGTTGCCATGGAAATGATAACAATGTAACACTCAGGATTATGAGTCGAGTGGGAGAGAAACAGCAGGCACAAAGAACACTTAACAAGCAGAATCCCGTTGTCATGCAAATAACCTTCTAACTGTCACATGTGATCTCTCATGCACGATTTACTTTTGTGAAAAAAAATTGTTTTTTTACCTTGGTATGATAGAGAAATGCATTATTGTCCTCTGAGACCGATTCAAAAATGAAAATGTTATGGAACTTGACGAAGCGTATTTTTAGGTCGAGAGACCCTGCTTTGTGGCATAGACATTATCATCAACACGTTGCAATGACCATTTTGGGAAATACGATGATTTGTCCAAATGGTAAGGATCTGCTCCAAATCGTAAGAGTAATTACAATCACACACGATCATTGCCAATTTAGAGGCCTCAAATAAAGCACTTGAAAGAGATGCCATTTATGACTAACTTGGTTGCTGAGATTGTGACAGTTGCTGGTCGTCATCACACATACCTCAGTCTTGACCTTAAACAAAGGCAGATGGAATGGTTTCCATGACAACGTGAGCAGATATAGATTTAAATGAATCCAGCGCAGTCTTTCCATGTGTTTGAGAGGCAACCTGTGTAATAAATAAGCAAGAAATCAATGAGGCTGATATACATCAGACATCCACATACCCACGTGATGACAGTTGCTGTGCATATAAGTTCACTGAGTTCTCACAACAGTCTTGCTGTACACAACACAGTACACAAACACACATGCATACACACATGCGCACCATTTTGTCATCTTCTGTTTTAAGAGGATCTTAAGGCTGAAAGTGATTGAGGAGTTGTTTCGGGGTTAACAAGGTTTAAAGTCTGGATTTACACGAAAGCATCTAACAACATCTTGGTCTTGCCTCAAGTTCTTTCGCTTCAAGAATTAAAATCTTTTGTAAAACACAAACATATATGGGCCCCAAACTGGCAGGCACCGTCTTGGCTCTAAGCAGGTTTAACTGTGATGTTTAAAGAGGAAGTGCCCCCCTTTGTTTCGTGCATTGAAAACACTGACTTCATTAATGGATTAATTTATGGATGAGTTAATAGATAAAGGGACTGTTAGGAGATAGGGCCCAATCGGAAGGTGCATGTCATTGGAGACGCATCTCAGGAGGGTGAACCTTTTTATTGGCTCTTTCACAAACTCTACTTCCTGTGCGGCATAGACTGACAGCTCTTCTCCCCCGTGTTCCACCACCATGTTGTTTCTGCCTGGAAGCTTGCCAATCGTGGATGAAGCCTTCCGAAACCATGAGCCCACATGAATCTCTTTCCATTTAAGTTGTGTATGTCAGGTATTTTGTGGCAGCAATGAAAAGCTAATTCTCCACCCGGTCTTCGTGTCTCAGGAGATCATTCATCTGCTAAAGTTAAAAACATTTTTAAAAAGTGCAAGTAGTGACTACTGAACTCTTTGATGGAGGTAAAGCCAAAACTGAGTATATGGCAGGTAGATGGAATCTTTATAGGATTTGTGGGTTTGAGGAGCTTGGCTCTATCCATCCTACTGTAAAGTCCTATAACTAGCAATATTGGTGTTCATCGCTGATCACGGTATTTGACTTAAAGCAAATAGGCCAATAGATTTTAGAGAGAGGTCAATTCACTGAAGATTTCCTGATAAGGGCCTCCTTGACAGAGTATCCCGGGATCCAATTTTTTGTTTAGGAATGGACTGATAAACACGGCATTTCATGACATGTATTATTCATTAGAATCGGTAATTATGTAAGATGTCATCTAAGTAAGTCTATTCAACCAGAGAACAAAGTGGCTCCAATCATAAGCGCATGGTGATTTTCACTGGTGATAAGCTTAGAGATAGGACTAGTGACTTAAAATAGTAAGAGAAATCAGTAGCAGACTATATGCACATTCATACACATACTGAAATGCACACAGACATAAACACATCCATATTGATAGCTGACACGTTTAGTCTTGATTGCCAACTCAACTGGCTAGTGAGAGATAAAGATTTATATCTAGATGTCCTCCAGTTGTTCAGTGTATTCATAAGTGGGGCTTTGGGGAGATGATTACATCATGAAGGCAAGACAGACATTAGAGGACTAACCCACTGATGAGTTTACAGCTAAATGTAATGTCGGGAGAAGGCGGGTCACGGGGAATATGCCCTAGAAGCATATATCTCCCTCCCTCCTTCCCTCATCTGTGTTTTCTACTGCCATGTCATGAGCTCTTGCTCCTCTACCCTGGAGCTGATCAACTGTGGACCGAAACCTCTACAAACTAGAAGCCAAAATAAAACTTTTCTCCTTACAGTCATGAATGTCAGGTATTGTGTCTCAACCCTGAGAAGGTAACTTAGACAAGACACATCTAGATTAGTAAGCCTAAATACACTTCTGGATCTGTCTTGTTGGGTCATTGACTCATGACCTGGTGGACAATAAGTGACCCTGACCTCTTCTTTTCAGGTTCTTTGTTTTCTCTTAGCTTCCCCAAACCCATGGATTGAGCATCTTCTCACTATCACATCCTTCTGCTGTGATGTTTCTGCTTTGGAGCCAGCCAGCCAGCCAGCCAGCCATGGACTGAACCCTCTGAACCCGTAAGCCAATACAAACCTGTCTTCATTGGAACCATGGGTTTCAGGTATTTTGTTCCCCCAAAACGAACACATAATTCTTTTTAAATTTTTCAGTTTTGCGAGAGCCATCCAAGAAAGGTGAGGACAGTGGGAGAGTTGTTCATGGTTGGTGTGTCAGCTACAAAAATAACATTCTTAAGCTATAGATGACTCTTTCTCAGTGTCATGCATGGTTACCGAAGCCTACCATGGAAGCATTTAGTGATGGTACTCAGCGATGGTACTCAGTATTGAATTAGCAGCCAGACCTTAATTACATGTACAATAAAAGGGAAAAATAAGCAGGAAGAGGCTGCACAGCTGGCTGGAGGCCTTCACCCTGCTCCCTCAGACATCTGGTCTACCCAGGGAACAAAGCCCTTGGCTCTTTTGGGGAGGATGGCAGGTTTCCTGTTTGACCAGACTACATGGTAGGTGTCCAAGGCTGCCATCTCACGCCTGCTCTGATGTACTTGGGTGGAAAAGAGCCCTTCTGTGAGAGCTGTCATTTGGCACTGCAGAGCTCTATGTCCTTACTTGCCATTGCTATCATGACTGTGACCCCATCACTTCACCCTGTGTTGCCTGGGTAATGAGGAAAATCAGTTAGCAGGCGGTTGGCTCACTTGGCTTATGTGAGAGTGATGTGTAATGTGGAATTAGGCTGGGTTTGCCTGAGGTAAGTGAAACAAGCTGTTTTTCTTTGGTCTTTTTTTTAATTTTCTTTCTTGTTTATGGTACCTCTTTAAGCCCCGAAACTACTGTCCTTCCTCATCTACAGTTTAATGTGCCTTTTTTTTTTAAACTTCAGTTACTCATGGACAACTGTAGTCTAAAATTATGAAAAGGAAAATTCCAGAATTAAACATTTGTACAATTCCAACATGTGACATTCCGAGGAGGAAGATGTGTAAGTCAGTTTTCCATTGCTGTGGCAAAGTACCAGACAAAATCAACGTAAAAGAGGAAAGGTTCATTTCACCTCCTGGTTTGAGAGGTTTCCGTCCATGGTTGGGTGGACTCACTCTTTCTGGAGGTGGGGTGAGGGAGAACATCATATTAGAAAGCCATGGTAGTATAAAGGTGCTCACCTCATGGCAGTGTGTGGGGGGTAAGACCAGATGTAGTCTCCAGGTTTGCGATCCACTCTCTTCACTGAGCATCCACCTTTGAAGTTTTCATCCGCTTCTCATAATGCCATCAGATGGTCCATTCACCAACAGATGAAGCCATTGATGAAGTGAGAATCTTCATGATCCAGTCATCTTCCCAAATCCCATCAGCTCCAGTCCAGCCCTAAAGACGTACCCTTTGGGGATATTCCAAATCCAAATCACAACTCGTCATTAAATTTTAAAACTTCTTTTGTCCTTTCAGGGATGTGAATCATCCCTTTGTCCCCTGGACCCATATTGTACACACTACTGACCTGTTAGTGACTTGGGATCCATCTAGGATATCAGAAAGACTGGTGCAGTATCTGTAATGTTTGTAGATAGGCTCTGGAACTACCTGTGGTTTCACACATTTATTAGGTGCCTTGAAATGTGCGCTCTGAAAATACAACATGTAAATACTGTAAACTTATCTTGGCATAGGTCCTAAGATATTTCACAATCTGTCTCTCAATCACTTCATCTTGCTTCACTGGTTCAGTTCCACATTCAAAACTTAAAACTCAATTCTTGCTCTTTATTAATTTTTTTTTTTTCATACCTGGATCAACCTCAGGAACTTCCGCTTGCCAGGCAGTTGGCAGCACCACTCAGCTAAATCCCCGGCCCTATTAACTTGTCACTTGTCAGTCTCTCTTCCATAAAATAACGTTGTAGTCCACTAAGTTTAAGGTCATAATGACCAATAATGACAGCTTAACAAATATGCATGCCAATGCCATGAAGAAGTATAGTTTTCTTCTAAGAGCTTTATAATTTAGTGCTTATCTATGGATCTAAGCTTTCTTTTGAGTTAAGTTTGCATGTGGTGTGAGGTAGTGATCTGTGTGTGATGTCAGGTAAGGATTTTAAGTAGGTGGACGTGCAAGACAGGAACTTCATTTTCTTTATATGCTGCTTGAACTTCAAACATCTATCCCACTGCCACAAAGAACAGCAAAAGGGAAATCGAGTATGAATTTTTGAATAGATATTTTATGTGTGTATAGTCCATGGCTCTAATTCCCAAATCCAGATTCTGTGTTCTATTTGTACGTAAAATTCAAGGAGAAATCAGAATGGATAATGATGAGAAATGTATCTTTACGTCCATTCTATTTGGCATGCTATACTACATTTCACTTCTCTTCACTAAACCTTTTCCAAAGACTGAGAAGTCGTAAATGAAAGCGAGAAGCTATCAAGGATCCAAACACACCTACTCACGTGCTTGATTTGAAAGGAGTTGAGATAAGAACTGGCCTCTTACACACGGTAGATTGCTAAAGCATCACCCTACCTCATTCATTCAGCGAATCACCATATAGTTTCATCAGTACAAATGGTCTGTACATAGCTTCACAATTATGCTCTCGAATTGAAAAACGTACATATGGCAAAAGAATGACTTCCTCGGGGAAGCTGTCCTTGAGAGCATTGTTATGTCATCTGTTTAATCAGAAAGAAAGTTTTTTATTCCAGCCTACCCAATGAGAATTCCTTTCATGATCCAGATTTAAACACTCTGGAAATTCTTTTTCTACTGCAAGGCCCCCACAAGTTCTTGCTCTTCTTGTAGGTCTCAGCTGCAAGCAACCAGGAATTCTCTGGGAGAAAAGGAGCTTCAGCCCCCTGCAGGAATGTCGACATCACAGTTTTGCCTTACTAGAATTCAATGGGCTTAAAGCCCTGAATCCCACCCCAAAATATACACATGGCTGGCCAGATGATTTGTTATTTTGTACCACTGACATAATTCTACTAAGAAGTAATTGAGTCATCAAACAATCTTCTAATACAATTTGGATGTCAAGAAAGGTGGTCTCCCGAGAGCTGAGCTGGCTGATTGGATCAAACTAGAAGAAAACCTGAGAGTTGCTCTAGTCCACAGACCCCCAACAGCCAAGCTGTAGGAGTTCAAACTCGACCCTGAACTGTGCATTTGAAGGACCAGCCCTCCACCGGGTCTGTGGAAAACATGACTTCCGTGTCACCAGTCCATGGAGGCAAAGAGTTGGGGACTCTGCTATAATGGGTATGCGATTTTGTGTTCCTTAGCCACAGGGCTCTGTCTGAGGGATGCATCCCTGCTCATTTTTGCCATTGTGTACAGAGGGTATTTATGCCAAGAAGACTATAATAATGCCACTGGATGTTAGAAGCATTTGTATTATTTGCATTGTAGATAGTCAAAATCCTTCCTGATCCATACTGTCCATTTTGGACTGAAAGTTCCCTGGGCAGTGCAAAACCGTGTTAGAATCGTTCTTAAAAAAAAAAAAAAAGTATTATTTTGTTATTCACACATTTGTAGTGCATAATGATCACATATGTAGAGCTGGTACATGTGCATAACACATCTTAATTCTTTTTTCTTCACCTTTCCCTCCCTTCTGTCTCTCCTCTCTTCATCTTTAGTTTCCTTCCCAGTTGAGAAATACCTACCTCCTTACTTCTTATTACCGAGCTTTTATTTTGCCTTGTATTTATAAACTGGGTTTCTTGTAGAAGAGAACCATGCAACATTAAAGCTTGTGTGTCTGCCTTAGCTCGCTTTTTACATTTACCGCTACCATCTCAAGACAAACCCCTTTTAATGGATTCAATTTTATCTTCACGGCAGAGTAGTATTCCACTGTGTGTAAATATCACAGTTTCTAGAATCAGGCTTAAAATGGCTTCTGTTTTCAGACTTCTTTCTTCTCTCCTCTCCTTATAACTACTTCCTGTGTTCCAAGTCCTTCTGTGATTCTCCAGCTAAAGCTTTTACTTCTTCCGCAGTTGTAGTTGATAAGATTGTCCCCATCCGTGCTGTCTCACGGAGAGTCAAGGTGACTCTGGTGAGACTGATGAACACGGAAACCGTCAACTCCACCTGCTTCAAAGAAGTTTCATTTTAAACAGAAGTGAAGGCCACACCTATTGAAATAAAAGGATGTTTTTCTCCCAGGGAAAATCTTTTCTGTGCACTTTTAAAATAACATGACTTCAAAGCCAGGATTGTCCATGCCAAAGGGGCTTTAAAACTTTTTTTGCGGGGGAAGCTGGGGATTTAGCTCAGTGGCTCTGCCACCTGCCTTGCAAGTACAGGGATCCAAGTTCCATCTCCTGTACCAAAAAAAAACAAAGCACAAACAAACAAACAAACAAAAACAATTTTTTTCAATACCAGAAATTGAACTCAGAGCCTCATACTGGCCAGGCAGGCACTGGGCCACTGAGCTACACAGAGGTCCTTTATGATCTAGCTATTCCCCTTCGGCTATCTTTGCAAAACTAAAAGCATCACACCGCAGCAATATATGAGCACTCATGTTTACAGCGGCAGTTTGTAATAGCTAAATCTTGGAAACATCCTAAATGCCCATCAACCAATGAATGCATAAATATATGTGGAGTACTACGGAGCCATAAAGATTCATAAACTCGAGACATTTCTAGGTAAATAAACAAACTTTAAGAATATACTGTTTTTTCCAAAAGTGTGATACTTTATCAAAATAACAAGAACAAAATTACCAATGAAAAAATAGCAAAAGCTATTACAAAAAATAGTAAGCTCATTGAATTCCTGTGTTTACACAGATTAAAAATATCTATCAGTTACCACACAGATTGTTGCATATTTTATGCTATAAGACAGGATAGTAACATGGGCTCTCTGAAATTCAAACTGCACTTACCAAGACAGTTTCAACCTGGGTCTGATGTCTTTGGAAATGCATTTGACAAAAACGTATGCAAGTAGTTACTTTTTAGTAGTTGCTTTCTTTGAATTATTCTTCATATAGTTATTTCAATAAAATTAAAAAAATTATCGGACATTATTCATTTGATATTCTTTAGTGAACTTATATAATACCTCTAGTGGGCGTGGTTTATTTCCTCAGAATATTCAAGTACCTGTGATAATCTTTTGACCTTTTATATTTGTTCTAAAATAATTCAGTGTGAAAATATTATTACATATAAGGCATTTTGAACAAATTAGACATTTTCATGCACTTGCATCACAGAAAAAACTTCAATGCATGCACTCTCCTGTGCATGCAATAAATATTTATAATTTTACAGAGGATATACACTTCAGTAAAATAAATTGAACACACGTGTGTAAAGATTGCATTGTTTCTCTGGTGTGAGAAATTGAAAGTGAAAATAAAGACAAAAAAGAATAATAAATATTGTGAAATAAGAAGAAACAGTTCAAAATTATGCAGAATGAGATACCTTGTGAATACTTAAAATGTTTTATGCCAAAAACTAGTAACTATTAGGAAATGAGCTCAGAGATTAGCAAATGAAAATGTATTATTTTTAGATGAAGATACACAGTGTATTTACTATTGTTACTCAGTAATCTTTTTTCTTACAAAATATTTTTTTCAGAGTGGCTTTTATATTTCTTTATGAATATATACTCGTGTTATATGAAAATAAATTTTTCTTTTTAGAAATGTTAAACTTAGTTTTTTTCTTTGATTTTTATTGAGTTTAACTGGGACTGTTTAGGTGCAGTACAGTTACATTCATCATCGGGATCATGTACCTTTACATGACAGTTCTTTGTTCTTAATAAAAATTTTTTTAAAACTCTGTTCGTTTTTTCTCCGTTTTTATGAGTCCACCTTCTCATTATCTTTGTCTTTTTATTACAAGCCGTTAAAAATAAAAGATCTTCAGCAGGATTATTCATAACTTCTTCTTCCTTCAACATGAGTATTTCATGTTCAAAAATGATCACGGGGCCTCGCCTTTCGTTTTTTCCATCCTTGTTGTTAAGTTTTTGTTATTCTTGTTGTTATGTTCTGTATTCCTTTGCGGTTCTAGGGATGGGAACACGGGGCCTTTGCACTGAGCCACAACCTTAGTCCTTTGATTATATTTTTCTTTTCAGAGAGGGTCTGACTGAGTCACTAATTTGCCCAGGCTGGGCCAGACTTGCAGTCCTCCTGCCTCAGCCATCCCGTGTGCTATGAATACAGGCACGCACCACCAAATCAGGGTCAGATATTTCCACTGGTAATGGTTCAGAAAGAAATCTAATAACCTCAATAGAAAAGGTAACGAGACAGTTACATAAGAACCTTTCAGGATCCAGGGGGATCTGGATCCAGGAGGCTCCTCATATATCGAAATCCATAAACCCTAGAGTCTGTTACGTAAAATGTAGTAGCATTTCAGATCTGCCTACTTATATCCTTCCATATGCTACCAATCATCCGCAGATTATTCATAATCCGTAATGCAATGTAAATGCTATGGAAATAGTTGCTACATCGTGTTATTGAGGGAATAATGACTATAAAAAAGGACTGTGTTCAGTGGAGATGCAAGGATTTTTTTTTTTTTATGAACTATTTTTGATCAGGGGCTGCTTGCATCTTTCCATGCAGCACACTTTGGCTCTGGAGGGCCACTTGTACCCTTTTTTAAAAAAATGTGTCCCCAAAGACATTTCACATCTCTGAGCTTATCCATATCAGTTTTCTGAAATCCCGTGGCCCAGTGTGGAAAGTCAAATTCTAAGTGGTAATTTCAAGCAAAATCCAGTCTAGAGGGAAATGGAGATTACCCTTAAAACCCGGCCGTTGACCCATAAAGATTCTTCAAGGAAGACAGGAACTTTATTTCTTTCGTGGACAGTCTGGGCCTGGACCAAACTGTGAAAATAACAAGGACATAGCTGGCTCTTCTGCTCCTGCCCATGTCTATTTTTGTGGCAATATTTGGGGCAGACAAAAAATTAGGTCAGTGTCCTGTGTTCTCTTCCTGGGCCCCGCAGATTCCAGACCAATCCAGGATCTCTTCTGAAATGAAACGTTGTTTCTTCACCCCATCCTCTTTGCAGAACCTTTTCTCTGGCTCCCTTTAAAAAAAAATCATCACCATCATCATCATCATCATCATCATCATCATCATCATCATCATCAATCATCATCATCATTATCATCATCATAATCCTGTCCTCATTTCAGAGGAGCCTGGTTTCTGAGAAACCGTCAGTGAACTGAAGCGCTCATAACGCCGTGTTGGAAATAGGTGTTCATCTCTGAAATCCCTCATTGCTCCACATCCACTTCCTCCTTCAAGTGAAAGCACGGTGAACATCATGAGGAAAAGAATGCAAGAGAGAAATTAGAATCTCAGGCCAGGTTGCTGTCTTGGCCCAGTTTCTGTTGCATAACAAAACCCCAGAGACTAGATATATTGTACTGGAGAATGGGTACGTACCTCGTGGTATGGGAAGCCAGGAAGTTCAGAAAGAACAAAGTTCCTGACTCTGATGAGGGCCTTCTTGCTACTTCATAGCATGGATGGAAGAGAACAAGCATGGCAACCCAGACCTCCCTTCCTCTTCTGAGAAAGCCTCCAATACAATGACGGAGAAAGACCTCTGCCGGGGATTTAGGTCAATAGTGCCGCCGCCTGCCTCGCAAGTGCAAGGTTCCGAGTTCGATCCCCGGTACAGAAAACAAAGAAGGAAAGCAAGAAAGACCTCAACCTCATGACCTCAGCTAACTATACATTTGGAGTCCTGCCTCCAAATACCTCATGGGATGGATTTTAAAAATGAGTTCATTTGTAAGAACTTTAGGGGAAACATAAACCATGCCACCTACAGCTCAAGAGTGTTTTAGCTGTTGGGATCCCCCAGCTGGGTGGGATTTTTACATAGATGTGTGTGTGTGTGTGTGTGTGTGTGTGTGTTCAGTCTTAAAATAATACATATTATATATTTATACAATTATATAATCTATAATATAATACTCATATACTGTATATCATATATTACATATTATTTGGGGACAGTGTCTTGCTATACTGCCAAGTTGTCCTGGTTGGGCTTGAACTTGCCATTTCCCTGCCCCAGCTTCCTTCAGAGCACTGGAATTACAGGCATGGGCCAGCCTGCGCAGCTCTTGGTCTCTCTACCCAGCACCCTGCACCCTGAAACTACATAGAGGCCCTTACCTATGACAACGCGTGAGCGTAAATTCAAATGTCTGGGCAGGCGCTTCTTGTGAATCTCAAAGGACATTTGCACATCACACTGTGAACACCGAGGTTTCGGGTGCTCAGCATTGTACAGTGAAGACCAGAAGTGTTTCTTGTCGTTGCACAATAAGCAAGACAACATCCACCTGCGGGATCAGGGCCCAGGCTGCGAAAAACACCCAAAAGCCGATGAGGTTCCCGGCTCTCATTTGCTGTGCATTTTTCCCCCGGATCAAAGCAGCTAGCCGCGTCTCTCACTTCCTGACGCCTCTTAGGAATGGTTGTGTCCTCCGTTACAAGGATCATCAGCTAAATTTATCGTCTGCCTCCTTAGGAACCAGAATAATCCCAGGCTTGGGAGACGTACCACAGCCCTTTGGACAATTATGTCCAGACTCGAAGACTTTAATTACGTGATGTGCTCATTTTGTTGGGCTTTCTCCCAACTTCCCTGAATTTCATGACGATTAGTTTTTCAATGAATAGCAGAGGTCTACATCTCTTCTCTGGTTAAATTGTTATAAACAAAACAGCACATAACCTGATGTACAATTTTTCATGGGAAAATAATAGGATCCCAAACAGCAATTGTAAAAAAAGAAAAAAAGAAAAAAAATCTGATCAGTGGGAAACACTGTTGAAATGAAAAAACTATGGAAATGAGTGGCAGAAAGCACTACAAATACAGAATTTGCATGGCTTCCAGGGGCCTGCTCTACTCAGATAACTATAATCCATGTTGAGGCTTCTCTCTGTTTACAAAGCCCGGGGGAAACAGATGTCTAGGGAGTCACTGGCCTCCATGTGTCATTAGTTTATCTTTATCCCGGTGTATCTAAGAGTCAGGAATTTCGTTTCCTGACTCTGACTCGGACTGTGGTGCTCAATTTCCTTAAACAAACAGCAAGTAAAAAAAAAAAAAAGAAAAAAAATCTGATCAGTGGGAAACACTGTTGAAATGAAAAAACTATGGAAATGAGTGGCAGAAAGCACTACAAATACAGAATTTGCATGGCTTCCAGGGGCCTGCTCTACTCAGATAACTATAATCCATGTTCAGGCTTCTCTCTGTTTACAAAGCCCGGGGGAAACAGATGTCTAGGGAGTCACTGGCCTCCATGTGTCATTAGTTTATCTTTATCCCGGTGTATCTAAGAGTCAGGAATTTCGTTTCCTGACTCTGACTCGGACTGTGGTGCTCAATTTCCTTAAGAAAAAAAAATAATAATAAGGTTGTGTAATTTCATTTCTAGGTAACCATCAGAATCTCAACCCGATAGATACGCAGCCGTGCTCAGTAAAGAATCATTCACAGCAGCTGCCAGGGGTCCAAACTCAGACGACCATCGCTAAGTGAATGAATAAAGAAAAGGCGGTCTGCACTCAGAATGGAGTACGAGTCCACCTGAAAAGGGAAGGGGATTCCAGGACTGGACGAACCTGGAAAGTATGCCGAGCAAAAGAGGACAATCAAAATAGCACAAACAGGGCTGAGGATTTAGCTCAGTGGTTTTGCCCCATGACTCTCAAGCAACAAGGTCCCGAATTCGATCTCGGGTACAAAAAAAAAAAAGCACAATTCCGAGAATGGTGCTGCGAAGTTTCTTTAAGAGAGCGTCATTTTTGCCTGCACATGTATGCACATAACGCATGTACTGTATATAAGTTTTAATGACTCTCATTATTCCTTTAAAAACACATCATTTTCATTAATGCATATCAATATTAAAAGCTTCATTTCCATGTTTCTGTTTAGACGTAAGCCGTTTTCAGCCCAGTAGCTGATACTGAGTCAGGAAAACTTTGTTCTTTTTTCTCTTAAATTCAATCACTGAGGTCTTGCTCATAAAACTGACCAAATACAGATTAGCAAGGAATGAAAAAAGTCTCGATTCGCTTATGCATAGGAATTCAGAGAAAAATGTGACGTGAGTAGATGGATAGATTTGGGGCGTGAAGTGCCTCCTAAGGTAAAGGGGAGGGAAACAGAGGCACTTTTAGAAAAAATAAATGGGCCTTTGGCAGAAGAGGCGAGGGGTGGAATAGTTTTGAGATGATGTCTCTTTGGTGCAATGTCAACTTCTAGTCCCTGGAGAGGTGCACAGCTCCCTTGTTCTTAGGTAGATGTTGTGAGAAAAGCAAATCCTTCACCTCAACACAGCACTTATGCTATGGGGGTTCATCCTGTCCTACTTCCCGTCTAAGGTCTCCGTAATGTCCATCAAACCGCCTTGCCTAACGAAGGACCCTTTGCCCTTAGCGGAAGCCCACGCATACTTTGCCACCGCAACCGATGTGAAAGTGCCGTGCATTTCTGGTGAGAGAAGCACAGTGGGTAAGTATGCGGAAAGACGCAGAGGAGTTATCAGAAAGAGAGTCTGAGAACCCGGATGAGTGAAAGCAGTTTTGCGCTTGAAGGGCTAGGGGGAAAAGAAGGAAAAGATGATTTGGGGAAAGGTTTCAAGAGGACAGCGCTTCCCTATAAAGGTAGGGAAACCCCAAGAGACGAAGCCAGTGCTACAGACAGTCACAGAACTGGGTCCAGATGACTCTGGGGTGATGGATGTAAGGAATTTGGATTTCGCACTCACCAGGAAGTTGAGAATTCTTGTGGCGATGTGAATGTATTTAATCATTAAAAATGAGAAGCTGGTGAGCTCTTTCCTGCTATCTAATTTCTTAGCTAATAGCTTTAAATCTTATAAAGTCATTTGCTTGCCTTCTCTTTTGCTACCCCTATGGTTTCCCCCATAAAAACACTAATTTTACCAATGTGTGGCCAGTAATGGGATGGATGATTTCCTTTCCAATAGAAGAAGATGTACCGGAACCTTATATGGTGTGGCAGGTTGGGGAATCACCCCATCTGGAAATTGTGATTTCCTGAAATGACAATGGGTGCAGAACTGTCATCCCTTAGTCTTTACTAAGAATTCTGAGCTGCAGTAAATGCAACATTGCCACCTGCTAGCCCCTGCCATGGGTGGGGAGTCTTCTACTTCAGGAAGAGAGAGAGGGGAAAGATTTGTGTGTGTGTGTGTGTGTGTGTGTGTGTGTGTTGTTATGGCTACATTCACACTTTATCTGTGGGTAGAAATTTTGATAGAACTTTTTTTGTGTGTGTTTGGGTGCAATATCAAGGAATGGATGAGGGACTTGTACATATTTGCATCCCAGATAAGCCATCTACAACTGAGCTAGACACCCAGGTCTTTTTTAATTTAATTTGAGACAGGGTCTCACGTGGGTCTCCAGCATGGCTTCCAGTTTGTGATTTCCAGATCACAGGCAGGAGCCACTCTGCTGGGCTTGATTGTACTTCATTTTCCTTCACATCCCAGCATTAACAACTGTATGTAGATTTTCTGGATGGGGCAAATGTGGAAATAGTTCTTGAGTGCCTCGAACATAGGAACTGCTCAAAGAAGGTGGAGAAGGAAGGACAAGAACAAAAAGAAAAAAAGATTTCTATAAAATGGAGTATTACTCAGCCATAAAGAATAAGAAGCTAGAGACATTTATAGCTATCTGGGTGCACGTTGAGGCCATACTCTTCTCAGTGAAATAAATAGGACACACTTGCATAAATACTGAATCATCTCTCTGGTGTGAAAAACTAAAAGTGTAAATAAGGTTCCAATGGTGTAATTGGGAGTGTGAAATAGGAAGAAAATGGCTGAAGGGGAAGTGGGGAGGGGAGGGGAAAGGAAATAAGGGAAAGAAAAAATGTGAGAAAAGGGAAAGAATGGAAACAAAGTCTTTGTAAATAGGGAGAGGTGAAGGGAGTGAAGGGAGGTCTGGGGAATGGGGAAAAATAAGAACCAAGGTACATCGTGTGAAGGCACAAGGTCCCCATGATGAATGGAACTGTATCGTTTGCTTTAAATGGACCAACACACTTAATGGGAGACAAAAAGAGGAGGAGGTAGATGAGGAAGAAGAGTTACAGGAGGAGAAGGAAGGGAAGGAGGAAGACAAGGAGGAGAAAGAGAAAGTGCATAAGAGGGTGGAGGAGGAAAGCGGAGGAAACGGGGGAGAGGACAACAGGGGAACAGGAGGAGGAAGGGGTGAGGAGCGAAGGCAGAAGAAAGAAGGGGAGAAAAGGGACAGTGAGAAAGAGGAGTGGAGGGAGGAAGAAGAGGAGAGGGGAGACAGCAAGAAGAGGAGAAGTCGAAGAGGTACAAGAAGACAGATTGGGAGAAAGAGAGACGGAAAGTAAATCACTCCGACGAGCCGACACCACCACACGTTACAGGCCCTGGTGTATTCTGGCCAAGACGAACCAGCTGTTTTCCCAGGTGTCAGTGAGACCTAAACACTGTTTCATATCACACATCTGATATTGCGGGGGAGAAAGGAATTCTACCAAGTAGCTTCTACCTGTATGCAGTTTTGTTTGTTTGTTTGTTGTTCTCTCTTTTTTTTTTTTTTTTTTTTTT